TTATCCCAGCACTTTGGGAGACTGAGGCAGGAGGATCGCCCAGCCCAGGACCCCTGCAGACCCGCCATGCACAGGCAAACTCGCCTCTCCAAAAAAGACAGAAATTAGATGGGGCCTGAGGGCTACACCTGGAGTCCCAGCTACTCAGGAGGCTGAGGAGGGAGACCGCTGGAGCCAGTGAGCCCTTAGAGGCCGAGGTGAGAGAGCCATGATCACACACCACTGCAATTCCTGCCTGGCCAGCGACGGAGGAGGCCTCCTGCCTCTAAACAGAAACAAAACCAGGAGGTGATTAACAACAGACATAGCTCAAAAGGAAACACTGCAGGAAACTGAAGATACAGTATCAGAATCTACCCCAAAACAGAAAAGCAGCCACAAGGTAGAAAATGAATAAAATGAATATGCTCAAAAAGACTCCTGAAAATATCGAGCTGCCTAACAGAAGTGCACTTTGTGAAAGATCTTCCTCTGAAACATCGAGCTGCTTTCTACCAGAAGTGCAGTTAGGAGTCCCAGAGAAGCAGAGAGAAGTTAAAGGAAACAGAAAATCATTTGGAAGAAAAAGTGGTGAAAATTTTCTTTAAATCAAGCAAGAAAATCGTGATCCCACAAATGCAAGATCAACAGACCTTTCTACGACGGGTAAATAGAGAGAGACCTCCACAGCCTGAAAATCCTAACCCAATGGCCGGAAACCAGATATGAGGGGACCTGGACACCGTTCAGGAGCCACCCTGGGGTACACATAAAAGCGACAAGATAGCAAGGGCCCTGGACTTGTCCCCAGGAACGCAGGTCAGAAGGGAAGCAAAGCGTTTTTGCGCTGCTGAAAGAACATTTCAATTTTGAATTCCAAACCCAGTGAATCTGTCTGTCAAAAGTAGGCCAAGCACAGTGGCTCTGCTTCTGGGTCCTGGTGCAACTCGGTGTGAAGTCGAGTAGGTGGAGGACTTTCCTGAGCCCAGGATTCGCCAAAGCTCGGCAACACGCAAGATCTTCTGTTCAGTTACAAAATAAAATGAATCCTCCGGGAGGCTGTGTCTGTTCGGGCAATTGAGGCGTATGGATCATTTGAATTCAGGAGCGCAGGGCAGTCAATATGGCTGCAAACCTCCATTCCCTAATAAATATAAAAATTAGCCAGGCGTGGTGGCGCAAGACGCCAGGCCTCAAGCTACTTCTGGAGGCTGAGGCTGAGGAATCGCTTGAACCAGGAGGAGGTTGCAGTGGAGCTCATGCCACTGCACTCCCAGCCTCAGCAAGAGCAGAGCGGATCACTGCAAAAAAAAAAAACAAAAAAACAAAACAAAAACAGGCGGGAGAGAGAGAAATGAATGGAAGCAAATCAAAGACTGAGGACACACAGGAAGTTGAGAGAATTCTCTCTTTACAGACAGACTTGCATGACAAGAAACATTCAAAGGACTTTCTTCAAGCACAAATAAGAATTTTTTTTTCACATGGAGACATTTTTATTTTTGTCTTCTTTTGAGAGAGGAGTCCCCCTCTGCTCCCAGGTTGGAAGTGCATGGCATGTAATCTCAGCTCACCTCCACCTCCCCAGTTCAAGGTGATGCCCTCCGCCCCAGCCTCCCAGCAGCTGGGACTACAGCACGCCAAGCAAGCCCCAAGTAATTTTTGTATATGTAGTAGAGACGGGGTTTCACCAAAAGAAGCAGGATGGTCTCATCACCCGAGCTTGCGACCCATGCCTCGGCCTCCCAAAGTGCTGGGGACATAGTGTGGCTTACAGCCACTAATGTGGCCTCTTTTTTCTTTTCTTTTAGATGGAGTCTCACTTGCCCTGCAGAAAAAGCATCTTGGGTGGCTGCCCAGTGCAACCTCTGCCTCCCTTGGGTTCAGCGATTCTCCTGCCCCAGCCTCCCGAGTAGCTGGGATTACAGGTGTGCACCACCACACCTTGGCTACACTTTTGTATTTTCTTAGGTAGGATGTTTCACCATGTTAGCCAGGCTGTGGTCTGAACTCCTGACTCCTGCCAGGTGATCTGCCCACCTACTTCCAGAGTGTTGGGATTACAGGCGTGGAGCCAATCCCACCACCATGGGAATCTTCCTGAAATCTGCTTGAGAAAGGGAATTATGATTGAAAGAAATGGCAAATGTGGGGAGGAAATTTTTCTCACTTAAATATTTCAAAAATAATAAAATGCTTTAATGCAAGTATAGTTAGGCAAATGCATTGTGACACTTATAGCATGTAAGAATTAAACCAAATTACACAGTAGTAAGCATTTAAGGTAAGGGTGACTGTGAGGTTCTTCTGCATTTCACGCTGCGTGAAAGGTGTGGTATACTAGTGACCACACAACCTGGAAGACAGTGTGATAAGTGCAGATGATGTCACAAACGCATGCAAATAAACCGAACTCAATAAGGAAAACAAAGAGATGTATCACTAAGAAGCCAACTATCATGATAAAAATGAAATACCAAAAAGGAACTTCAAACAGGTATGAAATTAAATGAAACATGAAAAACAGCAAATAATAGAGGGTGATAGGAGGCTCACATTCAACCTGTATAGGTAATGACTTAGAGATATAAATGACGGAATATCTCCAAAGCAACAGAAATGAACATATTAGATGATACAAAACCAAGAGCAACTAAAGGCTGAAGAAGGGACTGAGCAAGAAAAACTACTTTACACTTTAAGAAAATGTGGTCTGAGCCATTCATGCAGTGAGGTGGCTCATGCCTGTGATCCTGTGTGCACCCTAGGGGAGGCAGAGGGAGGATCGCTGAGCCCAGGAGTTCAAAGACCTGCCCGGGCACATAGAGAGAGACCTGTTCTCCAGAAAAAGGGGGAAAACAGATACACACAAAACAAGAAAAAATTGGCTAAGTTTAAAAGCAAAAAGGATGGCAGCCGGAAATGCAAGACAGAGCCTAGAGACCATAGGAGGCACAGAAGCTGGAGCTTGTGAGTGTATGCAGGGTGAGGGCCTCATGCCCTTCAAGTCTGCAGGTGAAACGGGACATCGCTTCCTCCTGGGGCCAGATTGTGGAAGACTCCCTGGTCCCACCACCTGCACTCAGCATGGCACTGGAGGTCCTTAGCCAGTGCACAATAAAAACAAGAAAAGTAGAAATGGAAGGCAAGAGATTTGGACACAAGTGGGGAAAAGATATTTGCTCTTTGCAGAATGCCTGCAGAGGCAAAAGTCCTACAAAACTGGCAAAAATGGCTATGGAAACTGTGTAACCATTAGTCATACAAAAGCAAGATGCTAATATTTTAAAAAAGTAAACACTGGATTTGAAGTATAAGGGAAAACAAGCAAACATATTAGCATCAAAACAGGGAAAGTTTTTAGAGGAATTCTAACAAAACTCCATAAGGCTGGGTGCAAAGCAAAAAAATGCTGCAGCTGAGAAGTGAAAGAAGACTCTAGTAACTTGAGAAAGTAGAATGGTATGTGATGAAATGCAGGAAGACTGAGTATGAGAAAATAATACTTTCGATTCTCCCCCTAAATGGACTGATGCAATCTCTATAAAGTCATTATTCCAGGCGGCTTGGTCATCTAGGAAACTGATTCTAAATATGTATATGCGAAAACAGACAGGACATTTGCCAGCCAAGATGATGCAAGGAAAGTTTGCTGGGTGCCGGGGCATTTTCTTACTTCCCCTGACCTAAAGATTTACCAAGCGCGGTAGAGCCTGCTTCAGCCTCGAGGCAGAGAGACTGGGGCGGCTTTGAGGGCCAATAGGTCAGAATGAAACAGGAGTGCCGCCAGAGAGACCATTCACGGATGATGGACGTTTGATACTGGTGTCAGGGAAATTCTTAAATGGCTTGAAGAAAGATAGCCTTTGGCAAACAAGTTCTTGGCATGTAATACCGTGGATAAATGACAGGGACAAATGGCTCAATCTACTACATGACACAAAAAAGTTAGCTTGAAACAGACTATATAGCCTAAATGTAAAGCTTCAAAACTATAAAAAGCTTCCTGGAAAACACTGGAGAAAACATTCGATTCGGACGTGAACAAAGAGCCTTTAATAAGATACTTGTGAACACAAGAGCCATGAGAGAAATGAAATTGGGACTACCTAATACTTAGCGACTGTTTGAGGTATGCTTTTCAGAAAATGAGTAAGGCAAACTGCACTGGGTAAGTACCCTCACAACATTTCTGCACTCTTCAAGCCAATAATGAAAGACAGTTTCCAGAGCACTATTGTTTTTTAAAGGGCAGGATTTGAACTCACCAACCACGCCCTCGGCCACGGTAAAGGTGGTCAGCGTCCGGGCAGCCATTTGGAAATCGGGCAGTGGAAAAACTACCGTGAGATTCCACTCCACGCCCGTCATGGTGATGTGAGAGAAACGCTTCTGACCACATCAAGTGTGGGCACACAGAGTCCCGGCTTCCTGCTGCCAGGGGGAGCCAAATGGTGACAAACTTTGACTAGCTTCAGCTAATTCCTTTTAGAGAGAAACATACACCTTCCCTAGGCCCGGCAACTCCACTCCTAGTAACCAAGTGAAATGAAAGGATTTGTCCTCAGCAAAACTCAAAAAGGAAGTTCACACCTCACTTTCTCTGCAGGGATAACCAAGAGCTGGAAACCACTGCCACGCCACCAGCCGGTGAACACAGATTAACCCACCGGGCTAGAGCCACACAAATGAGATGCTACTTGGCAACCGTGGACACACCGTATGGCAGACGAATGTGCAGACATGAGGCCACGTGAGGGGAGCCAGCAGGCCCCGAGGTGCGCCACACTTTGTGCTTCTGTGGTGAAATTCTGGGACAGACAGATCTAATCTGCAGAGAGAGAGAGGTCAAGTGAAGAGGGGCCAGGGCTGGGAGAGGTTGGAAGGGGTTCATGGTGCTGGGGTATCAACACAAAAGCAAAGGGCTGGGGCTGTAGAGTTGGGGGTCCAAGAGATGGAAGCACGATGTTCTCATTAAGTTCTGAGGCTGGAAGTCCAAATGCAGGGGCAGGTGGGGCTGGTTCCCTCCTGGGCCTGAGATCGTACCTGCTCCCTATGTCCTCACAGCTTCGTCCCTCTGCCCCCAGGACCCTGCTGCCTCCTCCTCTTCCTGGCTGCAGGGAGTGCTCGTGTCTGAAGAACGCCAGGCAGGTGTCCCCAGACGGTGGCTGCAGGGGCTCCGAGGCCACTTTCACTTTCTCCCTCCTCCACGTCTGCATTGTTTGGGTTTGCATCCGTCTGTGTCGCTTTTGCACCGTAAGTGGGATGGAGAGACGTGTGAACCACCATTGCTGGGGGAAGGCTGGCCCCAGGGGACCATGGCTTTTCCAGAAGGGAGCCCTGCCATTGGACAGCCGGTCTCAGGCTGCTGCACAGGCCCCTCCCCGCCCTCAGCCCTGGCCTGCTGGAATCGGGAAAGGGTGGGGTCCAGCTGCATTACAAAGGGACTAAAGCCACTGATTTGCACACTTGCCAGTGGCTGAAATGGTCAATAAAACGTCATGTACCTTTTGCCACAGAGAAGAAAGCCTGCAGCCAAAGAGTGTAAAGAAGCTCCAAGGAGGCCCGGGTGCCCTGGAGAGACCCTGCGTCCTCACGACACGGCGTTCCTGTGCTGCAGCGGAGGTTTCCTAGATGAAGGGGTCCCTGGCGGGAGACAGGGCCCTGCACACGGGTCCTCTGCCATGCTGCTCACCATGCCTGTGCGTTCTCTCACCATGAAGTCACCTAGGCCGGGCATGGTGGCTCATGCCTGTCATCCTAGCACTTTGGGAGGCGGAGGTGGGCGGATCACCTGAGATCCAGAGTTTGAGACCATCCTGACTAACATGGTGAAACCCTGTCTCTATGAAAAATACAAAAATTAACTGGGCATGGTGTTGGGTGCCTTGTAATCCCAGCTACTTGGGAGGCTGAGGCAGGAGAATCGCTTGAACCTGGGAGGCAGAGGTTGCAGTCATAGCGTTTACAGCAAAGTGGCTCCCAGAGCTGGGAGGAAACCCCGACGGCAGCCAAGCTCCTGCTCCACCACCCCAGGTGCAGAGGGGCTGCCCCAGTCTGGGGACTCCAGCTCCCTCTCAGCCAGGGCCAGGCCTCTGGGGTCGGGGCTTTCTCAGGGCCGAAGCCTCACTGCCCGAGTGCGGGGCCTGCCTGCAGCAGCCACGCGGACGGTTCTTTTTTAAACGCAGGAGCCGCTGTCACCTTGTCTCACTGAACGGTCATGATGGAGAGTGAAAAAGACGGCACAGCTCCTTCCACGGAGGAGAGACAAGGTCACAGGTGGGGCAACCAGACCCTCGAGTGTGAAGTGGGGGCACAGCCCTGCCCTCCCTCAGATGCCCCGAGATAGGCCAGGGTGGGAGAAAGGGGCACCTGTCCTAGGCACTGAGTGGCCACTGCCCGGCAAAGGTTCTCTGCTCCCATCAAAGGGAAGTGGAGGCCCCCAGGGTAGGTTCTGTTCAGCCCACATTTATGAGGCACCTGCTGTATGCCTGCCAGTGAGGGGGCCCCCAGGGGTAGGTTCAGCCCACATTTATGAGGCACCCACTCTATGCTGGGCAGTGGGCACAGGGATGGCTGCCCAGGCTGGCCCCTCCCACGGAGGAGAGACAGTCTCACAGCGGGGAAGCCAGAACCCCAAGTGTGAAGTGGTGGGTACTGGATCGGGGTGGCCCAGATTCCATGAGCTGGGGCTGCACCAGGCACAGAAGGAGCAGTGGCAGCGACTCATGACTTTGGGCGGCTCAGGTCCTGCCCATGCCAGTCTTCAGGAAAATACCAAGACTTCCGCCTCCCTGCCCTCCCTCCCCCACACCCGCCCACGTGGCCAGGACGTGACTGTCACCATGGGGACTTCCGCAGGGCCTGGTGCTTTCCCAGACAGGTGACTGCCCGTCTGGTCTCAGCCTCCCCTAAGCAACATTCCAGGATCCCGCGGAAAGGCCCACCCAGGCCTGGGCCTTCCCTGGTCGGTGCGGGGCTGTGGCCGTGATCCCTGGCAGCAGGCCAGGATGTGGGGGCCGCCCTACGGGAGCTGGGGCAGGGCCCAGGCACCCTCCACCTCTGAGTTTGTCCTGGGAGCTGAGACTTCCTGGTGGGAGACCTAGACCTCTGTCTCTTCCTCTGAGCCACAGGGGCTGCAGGTCCAGGCCTTTTGCCTGGACAGGCCACAAGCCACCAGGGGGCAGCAAAATCCAGGCCCTGCCTCCCTGGCCGCAGATGCCGCTTCCCAGAACCTGGGCTCCCTGTGCCATCACCTGCATGCCTAACCCCGGGTGTGCATTTGCGACCACACCCGCTGCAGCCCTTTAAAAATCCGCGTCCTCCTCCCTTCCCTCCCTCTGGGAAAACACAAGGGCTGCCCTCCGTGGTCTGGTTGTCAGTGAGGGACACTGGGCTGGACCTAGACATTAGAATAAATTATTCGGGGAATACATGGGGTTTGTTGAGGGGCCAGGTAAGACTGTGGGGGCGGGGTAGCCATGGTCAGGGCGGATCGAGGTCCAAGGCCAGCCCCCGCTGCTGCAGGGCCTCAGCCCCCTCTCTCACATCCTGTGTCCTTGTCATGGTCCCAAAGTGCAGGAGCCCCCATTTGGTCATCTCTAAAATGGGGTCATGTCGCTCTGCCTATTGGGAGGCGACTGGCGGACACTCCCACAGGTGGTTGACACACAGCGGGGCTCACGGGGGCAGTGGGCAAACCGGGGCTCCCCCAGACTGCTGTGGGCAGGAAGGAGCTGTCCCGGGCTCAGAGCAGCCCTGAGGGGCTTTCCAGCGGGGCCAGGGGAGAGCCAGCAGGGCAGGGCCCCAGCCCGGGGAGCCCCAAGCTCTCTGCCCATGTCCTGAGCAGAGGCCTCTAATCTCAGGGGTTGCAGTCGGCCAAGCCGTGGGCCAGAAACTCAGGAAGAAATTGCAGGGCCAGTGCCTTTATTAAAGCTCCACGGAGGGGCAGCTCCAAGGCCTGCACGCCACAGTTGGCCGCCATTGTTCAAATGACACACCGCATCCCCCCCAGTGCCGCCACAGCCCCATACCGCGGGGCAGTCAGCACAGGACCATGCTCTTCCATTGCGCAGCGTTCACCCACCCCACCACCACTTCAGCATAAACCGTGGAGTCCTTTCCCAGGCTGAACGGAGCCGGGGTACAGCTGCAGGGCCTGACTGGGGAGGCGCTGCCCAGGCCCGCCCCACACACCTGCCCCTCCCCACCAGGCGCCTCCCCACCTCCCGCTGCCTCCAACCGCCTGCCTAACAACACCCGTTCCCCAGAGCCCCTCCTCCAACACGTAGACTGGCCGCTCCGTCCATGGGAGGGGCTGCTCAGCCCCCGCCCCGCCCTGGCGCTGGGCACCAAGCAGGAGGGGAACGGAAACCCCCTCTGGTTATCTGGGAGATGAGGGGTCTGGCAAAGTGGCCACCAGGGCGTCCACCGGTCCCCTGTAGGCAGGTTTGCTGGGCGCTGCTCCTGGGCAGAGGCCGAGGTCTCTCCGGCCCGTCGCTCTTCATTCACCGTGGTCTGAGGCTCCCCAGTACTCGGTGCAGGGGGAAGGTCCGAAGGCTTCCCGGAGGCGGCGCGCTAGGCCTTCCCTGAGGTCCATCCGCGGCGCTCTCGGAGGCCTGGGCTGCGGAGTGAGGTGGCTGGTGAGGCGACTGGTGAGGCCTGCGGAGCGGGAGGCCGGTGGGACGTGCGCCCTGCCCAGCGCAGGCGACAGACACCCCTGCCGCCACCCCCGCCAGGCTCGCCGGGGACGTTTCCTGCTCTGTCCCCAGCTGGGGGCTGGGCTGGCACCGCAGGAACTTCTCGGACAGCAGGGAAAGCAGAAAGGTGGCAAGGAGCGCCCACCAGCCCCTGCCCGGCCCGGCACGAGCGCCTTGCGCTGCCGCCGCACCGCCACGCTCCTCACTGGAGCACCGGCCTCACCGAGGGCGCGGATCGGAGGCCGGCCGGGGGGAGGCGGCGGCGGCGGCGCAGGTGGTGGAGGCGCCTTTATGGGCGCCCGGCGGAGGTACACGCTTTCCCACGCCCGGCAGCCAATTGGCGGCCAGGGCTGGAAGACGCATGGCCCCCGCCCCCTAGCTCCGGGTTGGGCTGGGGTAGGGACGAGCCCTCCCTCCAACCCGCCTCCAGCAGCGGGTGTGGGCAGGCGTGGCCGGGGGACACGTGGGGCCTGACCCGGAGGAGGTGCCTGCCCCTAAGTCCCTCCCTCAAACCTGATCCCTCCCTGTTCCCAGCTTTCCGGCCACCTGACCTGTCCTCCGTCTGACAGTCTTCCCGCCTGGCCAGGAGCAGCCCCAGCCCAGGCGTCTGCCCAGGCCTGGCCCCCTTAGGGGTGAGGACAGAGGCCGCAGAAGCAGCTCCAGCTGTGGAAGCAACAGGGAGACAGAAAGGCCAGGGAAGAGGCTGAGCAGCAGTCACTGCACAGGGAGGCCAGGGCCACTGCTCCAGGAAGCCCCCACCCTCCTCCTGCACTTCCTGATAATCCAGGCCAGCGGCCACCTCCCCCAGGAAGCCCCCTGACTCCTCCTCCCTCCCCTGGGCTGGCTCTCATATTAAAAAGTCATCCTTGGAGGTGCTCTGGGCAGTTAATTCCGGGGAGCAGCCCCCCGCCGCAGCTTCTCCAAACCTGCTATTCGTTAACCAACCGCTCTCGGGGGTCTTTCCATCAGCCTTGGGAGGCGGCAGTGCTGTCCCACACCTCAGATGAGGAGACAGGTCCAGGGAGGAGGCCTTGCCCAGCTCGCTGCCCCACCATGCCCCTCTCCTGCCCCCTGCACTGAGTGACAGGGTGGGTTGCTGTGTGGGCAGGAGGATGGATGCAAAGGGTGTGAGAGCCATGCAGGCCAGACTTGGAAGCAAGGAAGGTGCAGCCCCAGGGACTCACGGCCAGAGTGTGGGGGCGAGCGATGGGTGGCCTGACAGTGGAGGCACGACGTCAGGCATGGCAGTGGGTGCCTGCAGGGTCCTCCTAAGCCATCCTTTACCCAGGCACCCATGATAAATGATGGGCCCAGGAACGGTGCCAGTGTCGGGCCAAAAGAGAGGGGGTGGCAGCTGGCCTGGGTGGTTGCACAAGACTGCCCCTATGCCCCCAGCCCTGCAGACCTCCCGCCCCGATGGCCAGCAGGGAACTGCCTCCCTATCACGAAAGTCCTGCTGGGGGTGGCCAGGTAGGCTGTGACTGCCTCTCTGCCAGCCCCGCCTGCCTGAGGCCATGAATGGCCGGGAGCCTTTTGTGGGTGAGCAGCTGGCTGCCGGCCCTTTCTGTGGGGCTGTGGGAAAGTCCTCGGGCCAGCCTCTCACAGCCTCTCAAAGCCCGGATTATCTCTGGGTCTGCAGGACACCCTCTCAAGGACGCCCCCAGCATGGCTGGGGGCAGGGGCGCCTCTGCAGAGGCCCTGTCTGCGGAGCTCTGGCCCCAGAAGTCTCTTGGCCAGGAACGGTCTCCTGAGTGAAAATCCCCTCGGATACCCGGCTCCATGCCCCCTACCCCATCCGACTGCCCAGACTCAGAAATGCCCACCACGCCAGGCAGGCTGTCCTGGAACCCTGGTCTGCTGTTGTCCTGGCCTCTGGCCCTCTGGGGGAGGGTGTGCTCAGCAGAAGAGCTTGCTGGGGGCTGCCAGTCCCCCGCTGACCCCAGGCCACGTGGCTGCACCCACAGCTGGGCAGACCCAAGCCAGGTCCAGGGCTGAGATCAGACTTGGAGATGCTCAGGGCTGAGGGCCTCAAGGCAAGTGCTCACTTACTCAGCACCTACTGCATACAGGCCATACCTACTGCATACAGGCCAGGCAGAAGCTGCTCAGAGTCCTAAGACGGGGGCAGGACCACAGCTGCCCCATCCCCACCGAGCAGGGGTGGGCCCAGCTC